TCCTAAAGCATAAAATGAATATACACACCGTCATAATTCTCACGCAAGAAAGCGCTAAAAAATTGATTTCCGGAACAAAACGAGCTGGAATGTTGGAACTTTATTATGATTTTTATTGCCCATATGTGTCCTAAAAAATTTAAGTTCACTCTTCCCTCACGCCTTGGTGTTACAGGTGTTCACATCAAATTTCAGATTGGAGCTGTGCCGGTTCGAGAGTAGAAGGCCACGATTTTGCGAGGATTTTCACCATTCTAAGGATGGGCCTGTAGTCATAAGTTCTTCGTCCCTCTACATCTCACGTACGGGCACGCGGGACCTGTTCCTGACAGCTTTGTAACTCCGCAACCAAAACAGACTGGAGTGCTAAAATTTTCAAAGCATAGTTCATGGCCATATTTGAGCAAGTACGCGTGAGAACAACCTTCACGTTCTACGTTTTATCTACGGAAATGTATAATTTGACGTAACTTGGCTACTAAAGCTGGTAGATTGCGGAAATTTTTACGCGTTTTTGCAGTGAAACGCTGCAACAGTCAGCAAAAACGCTTATTGTGACGACTCTGTGTATGTGTGTGCGTTTGTTTTGCGTGTGTGTTCGTCTGGCTGGTATTTCAACTCGGTAATCAAGCAAGCTTAGAGGTGCTGAAACTTTTCAAATGAATCCCCTGGACGAGTGCGACCCCAGGAATGTGGTGTCAGCTTTCATAGGAGCCTGCATTTATAGTACGGACAAATGATAATTTTGGCGCGAAAACTGCTAACTTGGGAATAAAAATAGTTAGGAAGCTCAAATTCTATTCACCAAAAAACAGCTGGATTAGCTGGCCGCAAAAGTGCATGGTCGCATCAGCCTCCCGGTGCGTTTTGCTGTCTGCTCTTGAACATGGCTCATAACCCTGTTTGAGCAGGCACACGTAAAAACAACATTCACTTTTCGTCTTCACACACGAGTGTATGAAATTTGATGATTCTGCAGCCAAAATAGCTGAAATACTGGAATTTTTTGACCATGGCCCACCACCGTGTTTGGGCTGACGCACGTGAAAACAACTTACAAATACATGAAGTAGAACGTAACTCCCCAAGCAAAGCAGCTAGAGTGCTGAAAGATTTTGAGCGTGCTTTTTCTGAGAGTAGGCCCAACAATGTGTTTCGAGGGATTCCTGTAACGATTTTTAGCATCGCAGCGGCCATTCTCAGTTCGTTTATTTAGAAGTACCTGCCAAAAAATAAATAGCGACATGCACCAGAGCAGCTGATGCGATCATGCGTTTTGTGCAGTTCTGTCCACTGAGTGATTGCCTGCTATGGATTTTCACTGCTTTGCACTTTCATTTGTGCAAAAATAGTTGAAATGTTGCCTGGTCCTTAAGCTATGGAATTTCCCACTAAAAATTTCACGTACCAACACATGAAAGCTAAATCTGAAACCTCGAGGATGAATGTCTTCCGGAATTTCAG